AAATGTGATTTGTCAATGTTATACGTATTGATTTACGAATGATGCAATAAATTTTTGTTTTTTTTTTTTAGAATTTTTATAAAAATATCTGATATCATATTTTTCAAATTCGTTATTTGTCCAATTCTCTGAAAACAACCTACGTATTTTTGAGCCACTTAAGTCTATATTATTGCTGATCGAAACTGAATTTAAATGAGATCCTTTTTATACTTATCAGGATAAAAATAGTCAAGAATCGTTGAATTTGAAAAGAATGCACATGTATTTTTCATATAATACGTTCATTTCGATTCGATAGATATTATTTGCATTTTATTATATTCTATTTATATTTTTCCACTATATCTGTGAGAGCGATGATGCACTGATTTATAATAATAATAATATAATAATAATGATGATTTAGTCGATGATGGAAATTTACTGATGGTAATTAATTAACGAGGTATTGTGGCAAATATATGTTTATAATAGAATTGAAAATATGAATCAGGTTTTTAAAATTATTATAAAATTAAAAATATTGAATTTCAAATTTGAAAAAAAAAAAATTTTATATTGTGGGATTTAGGAGTAAATATAATATTCAGTGAACAAGATTACATGAAATTCTTTTTCAGTCTCGATAGATTTATCTTTTCAAAAGCTGCTGATAACTGATGAGCAGTAGTTGTAGTAGTCGAATTTTATGACGCGGATTTACGACTATCCATTTTCCTGAATTACTCAATCTCAAGTATGAAGGATATATTCATGAAAGAGGTTCTAAAAGAGGGAGAATAGGTGTCTCATGAAAACAATATATTACTGATGAAAAAACCACTCGATAACATATGTTTTAGAAAAAAAAATATAACAATTTTTTTGGGGGTGCGTCTTTATTATTTAGGAGTAGGTTTTGCAAATTTGAAAAATTTTTGTAAAAATGTTCTTTTATTGTTTTATTTTGTTTCAAAAATGGATTTTTCTTTGTTTCTTTCCTTTGTTTTTTTTATTTTATTGTCATCCCTCGAAATTCTTTGTAAGAATTTTTTTATTTTGCTTTTTAGAAATAATCCTTGTTATACTTTTAATATAAAAATAAAAAAAATGCAATCGTAAAAAAAATGATTTATTGCATTGAAAGATTTTTCGTGTATTTATAAATTTTAATTGATTTTTGATATTTAAATGAAATGTGTATTATATAATCTGGAAAATGTTTTTCAATATTAAATTGGAGAGTGAGAGAGAGAGAGAGAGAAAAAAAAAATTCGTTTTTCACGCAGTTAGTTATAAAGCGGAAACCTCATTTTTATGTGAATGCTGTGAAAGCTCGTAAAGAACATGGAAGCATCTTTTTCCACTTTTCTATATAGAGTACTTTCTAATCGATACAAAAATTCAATGCGATCGCAGAAGAGTCTTTTATTGCGGTTGAAATTTTATCGATATAAGAAATTCACAAAAGGAGGGAGAACATATAACACACACGTATATATATTATAGAGAGAGAGGTATAAAAGGGTTCAGTCTGTGAAAAGTGAACTTTTTTCAGAAAAAAAAAAACCCTCAATTTGGCATAGAATAACGAAAACTTTTCAATTTTCAATGTGCGCACAAATGTAGTTCTGTAGATAAAACTGAACTTGTTAGTAACGATAAGAAGGCGACTTTAACAGAATCAACGAACGCGATAAAATTCAATGACCTTCCGGGTTTTTTTCCTCTTAGAGTTCAAGCAATAATTTCCTGTGTGGTATTTTCATTTTCTAAATTTTAATTTCTGTTTAAAATTCAATTCTTTCATAATAGGAAAATTATTTTTAATTTTTGGAGATAAAAAAGTTTTGTTTATTAGAGATGAATAATGCTGGAATATATGGTAATTGAATCTTTTTATATTTGATTAGGTTTTCAAAAATTCTATTGCTATTTGGAAAGTTTGGAATTAATTTACTGTATTTCATTACTGAATTCAAAATACGAATAAAACTTTTTAAAAAGCTTTGAGTGCTTTTGAATTTTATGAATCGTAAAAATTGCATCTTTGATATAATAGTAAATGGTAATCCCTTCAGAAAGGGAATTCTGATATCTTGGGGATTTTAAAAATTTTCAAGTTCTTCTAAATGTTTTTTTAAATTGTTTTTCAAATTTAAAATTTCTTCTTTTAATTTGTTTTTCAATTGTTTTTTGGAGTTGAAAATTGGAATCATATTTTTGTTGTAAGGAAATAATAATCTATTTAATCGAAAGAAACTAAAGGAAAGGAAGTTTAATATTTTGTATATAGAAAAAGAAAGAAAAAAATGAACCGATGATAATGAATTATGGAAGTAATATATAGGTATATATAGAAGCCACATGTATAGGTTCTGATTGTGTATAGTCCTTTCTGTGTAATGCTCAACGATGGGAACACACCCGGTTGATGAAAAGTGGAGACCAAAACAATGGCCAGACCCACAAACTCGAGAGGTTGAAGTTTCGTTGAAAGAGAAGAATATAGTCTACCACGGGAACATAATACACCGCCGTCGGCAGAAATAAGCTGTCGCTGCATGAGAAATGCACCTCTGAAGCCACGAAATCGAGTAAAACGTGCAAAATTAAAGTTTTCACACTAACTTTGGAAAATGCATTGTTTCAGTTTCACGTCTCGAAAGTAGGCGTTAATTGCAACAATGCTTGCAATTATCTCTAGAAAGCAGCAGTCGCATATATATATATACCAAAGAATTATTTAATTTTGATTAAAAATTTTTTTTTTTTATCAAAAGGAAAAATTATTTTTCTCCCTTATTTTCTAAGAGGGAAATTATTTAATTAATTTTTGTGATATAATAAAAATGCGGGGGACAATAGAGTTTATTTTATTAAGTGTTCTATAAATATAAAATAAAATTTGAAAATTGTTAATTACAAAAGATCAAATTAATAAATCAGTTAAAAATTATTTGGTGAAAAGTATAGTAAATATATAAAAATATTTATATACGGTACTTTTAATAAAATAAATTATATTTGTTCTCTGCACGCGATATTCGTTTAAGAGTGGAAAGATTTTTTGAAATACCCCTAGAAATGAGGAAATTATTATTCTTTTTTACCCCAGTCTCTTCTTTACCCTGTATTAAACTTCTTGGTTCTAATAGTGTTTTTAAATAATATCAATTATAATTTTAACTTGATTATGGAAATATTTTTTATAATGAAAAATTAGAAACAAAATATGGTTGAACGCTTTTAATTACTTTAGAATGTCATTTTTATGCCAAAAGTGAGAAGTCGATTAGGTATTTTATAAAAGTTCACTGATTAAAATGTAAATTAAGTGTCTTTTAAAAACGTGACATGGTGTATAGTTTTAAAGATAGCGTGCTATTGTCGGTTATAGAACACACACACACACAAAGTGGCGCACAGAATTATGTGTATACAATTTTCTTATCGTCTTTTAAGTTTTCAGTGCGCGGCAAGGTAATTATTTGTGTTCATAAAGTTCAATGGTTAATGTTATAAACTTGGACACTATTTTGAAGAAAATGAAGTTTCTTAACTATACACTTGATAGTAATCAATATATTAAAGTCATGACTCGTGAGAAAAATAATATTTTCAAACTTGATCTTCAGTCATTTTTTTTTCTTTTCTCAAATCTATAAGTAAAATCTCAATTATATAATTCGTTTGGCAATTATTTTTTTTTTTTATAAATAGAAGTAAAATCTCAATTATGTAATTGCAATTATATTTTTGTTATAAATAAACACAAATTGAGTTCCATTTTTTTTTATTTTTTAAAAATATTTAAATTGAAAATTAAGTAGATACAAAAATAATTGGCGAAATACATTCCGTAATACTGTTATATATACACATAATTTTGTGTGTAAATTATTCTGGAAATCGAGTGAAACAATTTCATTTCGAGAACCCAATGAAAGTTTAAAATATATATTTTGTTAATTATATATTCAAATGAATAATGATCCTGTGAATTTTGATAGCAAGTATTGTGCTTCATTTATTCACTTGGATTTTAATATATTATTATTTTCCACATTTATGTATTAATTATCGTTAATGAGGAAAATTTATTCTTTTTTTTTTAAATGCCCTATATAATAGTAAATAATGTTTTAATTCAAATTTGAAATTCCACAATTTATATAGTGGTGTTGAGAGAGACCACAATGTTTAATTTCCCTGACAAATTGAGAATTCGATTCGTAAGCAAACATTATAACTAAACTTTAGAAGTTAAGTTTAAAATAGAATTTGAAATATTTGATTTAAAGCAGCTTAGAAAATAAATTACACTACAAAAATATATTATTATTAATAATAATAATTATAATAATATATGAAAAATAATAATTCTTTAATTAAAGTAATTATTTTAATTTTTTAAATTTATTTGCATAAAATGAATTATTAAAAATAGTATAATAATAAACTTGGGACAAATAATTTTCTTAACTATTTTTATGTATTGTATGACTTTGAAAAAAAATCCCGTTTATCAAAACACGTTTTCAACTACCAAGGAAATGTATATTGTATATCAATTACTATTTCACACTCAACTGTACAGATATTTCTGTCATTCACATTGATTCATTTTAATAACTCATTTGCATATAATGATTCTGTACTCAGTGTTGATTTTACGATCTCTAAAGTAATTTTTATCTTTAAACAAATATTTATAAAAACAATTAGTTTTACTAATTTTTAATTTATCTTAAATTCATATTAACTAATTAGTAATTATAAAATTGTTATTATATTATTTTAATTAATTACTATTAATTGAATAATAATTAGTAAATTAATAAAAAATTATTACTTTTTTCTTTAATTATTTTTCTATAATTTTTTTTATTATTATTATTATTATTATGTTTGTATTTTGTTTTTAATATAATATAAATTAAATAATAGTTTAAAAAAATTTTTTTTTAATATTTTTTTAAATTAAAATGAAAATATAAAATTATAAAATAACTTACTCGTTACAATCATCCAGGATCTTGAATTTTGGTTGTTTGTTTCTATCGTATTTTGGTGAATCAATTATAAAGGCACTAGTGTCAATGAGTAGGATAGAAAAAATAAAGAAAAAAATAGCGCGATTTATTTTGAACATGTTCAAACTTGTTTGAGATTGTTGATTTAAAAATCTATGTATCCTTGTCATTTTAATATTTTTTTTATTTCATTTAATTGATACGCGAATCCAATGTTGCGGTTAATGAACTTAAATTATTATTATTATTATTAAAAAATTTGATTAGATAGGGTAAAAAAAAAATTTTTGTCGATTCTTAATTTAAGAACGACTCGCGTAACGCGCTTATAAGCTACTGATGGCCTTTCCACCACACTCAATAATATGACAACGGCTGGACAGAATGGCTCATTTATATGCTTCGCGAATTGATAACAACTTCTCTGCTATTGGTTGTTGTTTAAAAATTTATATAGGAATTTTAATTATTTCTAAAGTTATTAGATTGTATAAAATTCATTTGACAAGGGGTTTCTATAAAATTTGTTTTCAATTTGATTTTTCATTTTTTGCTTTATTTTTATTATTATTATTTCATATTCTTTTATTCAATATACGAAGGACGTGTTTTCTTATGATGTTAGAAAGTGATTTTAAATGAATAAGTTTGTCATTCAATGACTTTTTAATATTTAATAAACGCTTTTTAATATTATAATAATAGAATATTAAAATTAATTAATTATTTTCTAATAAAAAATCGATGAAAATTTAATTTGTATAGAGAAAGTACAGGATTATTAATAAAGGATTTACAAAGGATTATTATTCAAAATAGATTAAGGATTATTAGAGATTTTTAAGATTAATTTTTTACTAATTTAGAAAGATTTCTTTGTTTTTCCAAATGATAAAATATCTCGTTTTGTTTATATGAACGCAGGTAATTCCCAAATGATTAAATTTTTGTCTCTCCAATAAAAAGACTATAAATCGGAAAAACCGGATCAAAATTTAACATTAAAAATTTTTCTCTTCAAATCGGGAATTTTATTATAAATATGTAATTAATCATTTTTTAAATTCATAAATATTAAATGCTCGCTAGTAAAATATCAGCACATGTGATAAAAAATTTAAAGCTTATTGAAATTATTTTTCTACAGAAAAATAATTTGTTATAATTAAAAGAAACATGTAGTTAAATTATCCTTGAAATTATTTTTTTAAACATAATTGTCGGTAACTACAGTGACAATAAATGGAACGTTTTTATTTTGAAAAAAAAAAATTTTTAAAGATAAGTCTTTGGAATTTGTCCTATTTTTTAGAGTAGGTTAATTATTGATAACGATTAAAATCATATTTTATCTGTCAATAAATAATATTTTTCGATTAATTTCCATATCTTATTTAATCAATAGGTGAAAAAAAAGATATATTGTTTTCTGTAATTTCCGTAGATTTCCATCTTTCGAGGACTATCGAAAAGTAATAATTTTCTTTTACGCATTTATATTTCTATTGATTCTATTTATTTTGAAAAATTATGATAAAAATTTTTAATAATTGTTTTTGTGACATTAGTAATTAATTATTATTATCCACTATTTGTTTTATTATTGAAAGACAATTTTTTTTTGAAAAAAGCCAACTGCTAATTGTTTGTTCATTACATTTGTTACTATTATAAATTCCAATAATTGATCTATTAATAAAACTTCTGGCCTGACATATTTTTAATTTTTATAATTTTTGCAATTTTCCCTTTTTTATTTTCCAATTGTTTTACAATAGGTATTAGGTATTTGAAAACATGTTTTCATGAATATAATCTAAACTTTGTTTTGTCCTTTTTTATCAGTATTTTCGTTGTCCTATCTTTCCCATATTAAACAATTTTCTATTTTCCAAGTAAGGAAAAACTTTTATTTCACATAGGAAAACTCGTTTAGATAAAATTCCACTTGACTATGTTTTAAGTGATGTTTTCAAATGAGCATTTAAAAAAATGTAACCATTACCTCATACACTTTGTTTTTTTTTAATTGTATTGAATTTAATATTTGTCGACAAATATTTTTGTTTCATTCAATTCTCGAGTAGAATATTGTGTAGAAAAAGGATTGTTTTTTTTTTTGCGGTAATTTTGATTATTTATAAAGTATAGTCTCAATATAGAATTGTCAAGAATAGAACCTCAGATTTACGATTTTAGGTATGTGAAAAGCTTTTGTGCACCGGAGTATAAACTAGAAATTCCTTTGTTTATAGAACCCATGTATCGTATTGTTATTGGTTTGTGGATTTTCGAATAAAACGTCGTTATGAGTAAGAGAATATCGTAATAAAAAAAATGAATAAAAAAAATATTGTTTAATGTGTTTAATAATCCACTAACAATGAAATTCAAAATATATATACTACTTTGGAATTATACAGTATTTAAACATTTTGTATATTATTTGCAAAGTTATTTCATATAAAATTTAATATCAGTTGTTAGAAATAGAAAATAATTATATTATAATATGAAAAGTTAATTTTAGCTATTTAGAAACTTTGAATAAATTTTCTCTTCTTTGACGTAATTATTATAATAAAAAATAATAAGAGGTAGGAACGGTTCATTATTTTAACATATCGCCATATTGTTTCCGCCATTTTGATTTCTTTGTGTTTTATACTGGACGTAAAAAACAAGAAGAGGTTTTAATATTTTTACTTGGGAATATTTTCACAAATGGTTAAAAATGACGGAAAATATCAATTACTATATCTAAAAGTGTCTTTAATTTATTCATTCGTTACATAATAAGGAAAATTGAGAATTTTTAAAAAATTTAAATTATTTGTCTGTTTTTAATTTTTTTTGATACGAGCTTTTTACATGTTTTTATAATTCACGTGTTAAAATTTTTAAAAAAAATTTACTTTTACAAATTGAAATAATTTTTTTTGTTAAGGGTTTTTTATTGTGATTTAAAATAGAATAAAATATAAATGAAGTTATTATTTAAAAATCAAATTCAATTCAAGTGCAATTAATTTGAAATTTTCGATTTATATAAACTTTTTTTCAATGGTATTGTACTTTTTGTAGGAAAGGGCTTTTCATTTGTTTGCCATTTATATTTTCCAGATAAATAAATTTAAAGTGGTCTTTTATTTTCCCTCAAATAAATTTAAATTAAAATGATGAAAAATAAAAGCGATTTTGTTGAAGTGGTAATTTATTGTACTTTGTTCTTTTTTCTTCAAAAAAAAAAAAAAAAAAGGTAACAAATTGAAATGTCCTTTTCATTTTATCATAATACAATTATTGCAACTGATTTAATTTTTTTAAAAACTTTTTTCGCTTTTTAATTTAATTCATTTAAATATTAAAAATTCGTAAAAAGTACAATTATAAATAAAAAATAAAAGTTTATTAAATTCTATTTTCAACTCATAGAAGAGAGAGAGAAAATTGTTGATTTAATTAAAAGTAATGTAATTTATTTATCGTATGATAAAGATTATTTATTTTTAATAATGAATGAAAGTCAAAGTGTTAAAAGAAGAACGCGTCATATTACGTTTTGATAGCACATATGTTCTCTTCAGAAACGTAATGAAAGTGTAAATAAAAAATTGTGTGATCATCAAAGTTAAATTAAATATTTCTAAAAATCAAAATTCAATTCAATTTATATTTATATTTAAAAATTTTTGATAACATTTTTCATATTGCACTTTTTTTTTGTGTTTATTGTGTTGAATACAGAATGATTTATTTAAATAATCTTTTGTATTTCTAAAGGGAACGCAGCTGTGTCTGTGAAAATGTTTTATTATATTTTTACAACTTGACTTTCATTGATTTTTGCAAATTTTTCATTTTAAATTTAAAGTACATTTTTTGCGATTTAAATTTAAATGAAATATACGCGACAACAAATAACAATATAATGCTTTCAATCCTTTTTTAATTTCTCATGCAATTTAAATGAAGGAATTTTCTAAATTTCAACATGTCAAACAAAGAGACATCTTTCTTTTGATATTTTCCATCTAGCGGCTCACCGCGTGTTCTAAATGTAGCATATACACTTGTTTTACACACGCGTTATATACAAATGATAAAAGAAAAGAAAAACCTATTTCAAGCATATCAGGAGTCTGCCAACTTGAAACTTCGAACTTCTTTTTTTCTCATAATATCAAAATTACAAAGGAATTTTTTTACATATAGTAAAAAAAGAATTATTTCTCTCAGAGATTATTATGAAATATTTAAAATTCCTTTTAAATTAAGTATATTTGATATTTAAATTTTAGTCTATTATTGAACATTTAAATTAGATGTGAAATTAAATTAAATCTTAATTTACAAGTAAAATTAATTTTAAAATAGTATCTACATATTTAATAAAAAAAATTTGATTGAAAATAAATATGATTTGTATAATTGAAAACATTTGTTTGTAAAATTTCATTAAAATCTATTTAGAAATGCATCTTTATTATAATGAAAATACAAAAGTTTAATAAAGCGTTGACGTTTGGACAGAAAAAAAAATTGAAATATTGATGCAGATAAAACTCATCGACATTCAATCTGTTCGAATGTCAAACTTCGAATACGATAAGTTCTCTTTCCATCGTTTTTGTACATATATATAGTATATATATTATATATATACTATATTTAATATTCAAATCACAATCCTCTCTCTCTCAGATATATTTTAATGTCGATTTAGTGCATATGTACTTGAAAAAAAATTATAAAAAAAAACAATTAGTAACTGCGCGGTGATAATGATGATCTTGCTCTTATATATCTCTCTCTCTTCCTGTAATTTGTCTCGCGAATATGTGCATCTGCGTCAAAACACATTGTATGAAGAAAAATGTAGAAAAAGTAAAAGAGAGACAGTCTGCTATAACTTTAAATTATATTTCCGTGACGTTTACTTTTATGCTGCGGTGAATTGTCAAGATAAAAAAGTATTGTACATATTATAAATAGTAATTATTAGGAATTTACTATTTTTTTGGGGGGGGAGAAAATTAAAATTAATTAAATGATTAATTTATTATTTAGAATAGAATTTTTTTTTTTTATTTTTACATTATAATTATGTGATTTGTTTTTGTAGAAAAATAAAAAATAGGTAAATTTATTTAGAACCTACGCGGGGAAATTTAATTTCAAATGCATTTAGTGTAATTTCCTGTGTAGATATAATATGAAAGTGGAATCAAAACGTTGAGTTGTAATTTTCTGTGTGACAATTTGGCAGACAAACTATAAGGAGATTACATTTTACCTACATTTTGAATGTGCTACATAAAGTGCATATGGAAATTTGAGCACTAGTTGCGTATCCTCGCTTTGCAGGAAA